TTAACACCGCCTTGCTACCCCAGCATCTACCTGGCTTGCTTCTCCCTACTCCCTTCAGATCTCTGCTGAAAGGTTGCCTTCCCCATCCCATACAAACTCCCCCGGCCTTACCTTCTGCTGTTTGTTAGCTGATCCATAGCACTACCTCCACCTTACACAGTAGTGTTTGTTTGAGGCCCTTCTCTTCCCTATAGACAGTCCACGTGAGCTGCATGGGGGTAGGGACTTGTTTTGTTCTCTGCTGTGTCTGGCATAGAACTCAGGTACATAGTAAGTGCCCGTAACGATTTTTGGAAGAATAACTGGAGCCAGGCTGCTGGGCTCCCATCCCAGGCCATCCACCCACTAGCCATGGGACTTGAGCCCCTTACTGCCCTCTCTTTGACTCACTTTCCTCACTTGGGTGGTGGGTAAAGGTCAGGTGGTGACCCCTGGGCAAGCCCTGTCCCTTATGCGATCTGCAGGCTGGGAGCCGGCTTTGTTCTTGGGGCTGGGTGAGGGTTTATGCCCTTGCCTGATCCCTCATTGGCCTGCAGGCCACATTCCACTACCGGACTCTGCACAGCGATGAGGAGGGCACTGTGCTGGATGACAGCCGTGTGCGTGGCAAGCCCATGGAGCTCATCATTGGCAAGAAGTTCAAGTTGCCCGTGTGGGAGACCATCGTGAGCACCATGCGTGAGGGGGAGATTGCCCAGTTCCACTGCGACGTCAAGGTGCCTGGAGTCTTACATCTGCCTGCAGTGCCTGCATGTCTGTCCAGCCATTCCTATTCCCCATGCCAGGCCTCTACCCTGGCTAGGTCACCACCAACTCCCCCCGGGCACTGCAATACCAGGAGGACACTGCCTTCTCTCCGTTAGCCAGACCGTAGCCAGGAGACTGGTTCTCAAATGCAAAGGACCCACTCAGTTCCTTGCTTCAGGCCTCTCTGGTTCCTGGTGCTCCCTTGGCCCTGTAGGGTCTGGCCCCTGCCAGTCCCCCCTCCCTACCCCCTCCCTTCCTTTCCTTTCCATCTTCTTTGTGGCCAAAATTCTCCCTCCTACCTCACAGTAAATTCCTGGGTCACCACTCCCAGAGGTAAGCATTCCTCTGGGCCTATACCGACAAGGGAGATGGGTTGACAGTGGGGGTGATTGGCTTGGTTTGGTGCCCAGGAAGCCCTCCCTGACTGCTGGTAGTTGGCTTGAACCCCTCCTTTGGGTCCCCCAACCCAACTTGCCTTGGATGGCCAGGATCTGGTCCTCTGCCTGGGTCTCAGCTACTTCTTATTTTTTGCAAAATTCTCCCTCCTACCTCACAGTAAATTCCTGGGTCACCACTCCCAGAGGTAAGAATTCCTCTGGGCCTATACCGACAAGGGAGATGGGTTGACAGTGAGGGTGATTGGCTTGGTTTGGTGCCCAGGAAGCCCTCCCTGACTGCTGGTAGTTGGCTTGAACCCCTCCTTTGGGTCCCCCAACCCAACTTGCCTTGGATGGCCAGGATCTGGTCCTCTGCCTGGGTCTCAGGTACTTCAGGGCAGGGGTAGGGCTTATTTTCCTTCTGTTTCAAAATGCCCAGCGTGGCCCTGGTCGGTGTGCCTGTTGGTTGGGTGTCGTCTAGCACACCGGTTTGATTCCTGGTCAGGGCACATGCCCGGTTTGAGGGCTTGATTCCTGGTGGGCAGCATGTAGGAGGCAGACAATCGGTGTTTCTCTCTCTCCCCCTCTCCTTCCCCCCTCTCTCTCTCTTAAAAAAAAAAAATGCCCAGCATGGTCCAGCCCAGGCCCAAGACTCAGGAGTGTCTATTGGCTGGATGTGACTGCAGGGCTGGTGAGGAGAGCTGGTTAGACTGGAGTGGGGTAGTATATATATTTGATTTGATTTCAGAAAGAGAGGGAGAGGCAGAGACAGATAGAAACATCAATGATGAGAGAGAATCATCGATTGGCTGCCTTTTACATGCCCCTGGCATGCTCCCTGAGTTGGAATCAAACTGTGACTTCCCAGTTCATAGGTCCAAGCTCAACCCCTGAGCCACTCTGGCCAGGCATGGGGTGGGATAGTCTTATTCCCACCATCCCAGCAGCTGTTCCTAGTGAAAGGTGAAAGGTGAAAACTGGGTGCCCTACGGCTAAGGGTCTCCCCTGTGGTGGGTTGTGATGCTGCCCTGAACTCAGCCCTGAGATAGGCTCTGAATGGGGGAGGGGGAGGGCAGGAGAAAAAGCAAAGGGACCCCAATAATAATCTCCCAGGAGGAGGGAGGCCGGAGCCCCCAGGGGAAAGCCCGCCTTCGTTTTAGCAGAGTGTGGCTGAACCAGTTGTGGCCCCTCCCTGGGCCTCAGTGTCCTTTCTCAGGTGGTGATGGGCAGGGGGCTGGGCGCCTTGGGCCACACTGACAGAGCCCCTGCTGCCCACCCGCCCTCCTGCAGCACGTGGTCCTGTATCCACTGGTGGCCAAGAGCTTGCGCAACATCGCGGCCGGCAGGGACCCCCTGGAGGGCCAGCGGCACTGCTGCGGCATCGCCCAGATGCATGAGCACAGCTCCCTGGGCCATGCCGACCTGGACGCCCTGCAGCAGAACCCCCAGGCTCTCGTCTTCGACATCGAGATGCTTAAGGTGAGCAGCCGCCAAGGCTCAGGCGCCACGAACTGCCACTGCCCAGCCTCGGAGTGGGCTCCGGCCCTGCCTGCCTTCCCAGGGCTCGTAGGCTCCGTGGATAGGCTGGGGTTAAGGCAGGGCAGGTACCAGAACACCTTGTGGACCCCTGGCTGTCCCCATGGGGCTCCTTCTCGGGGCCCCTCCTTCCCCTTCAGTCTCTGTGAGGGCAGGGATCTTCACCGTCTCATTCACTGTTCTGTCTCTAGAAGCTGGCACAGCGCTGGGCACATAGGAGATGCTACATAAATGTCTGTTGGGTGGTCAGTGAAGGAACTAGCGATTGTGGTCTTGGTATCCATTGTCTGGAAGCCGAGCAGCTGTGGTGCCCTGGGGCTCCCCTTGACTTGGCCCACACTCCGGCAGGTGGAGGGCCCTGGCACATACCAGCAGGACCCGTGGGCAATGACGGATGAGGAGAAGGCAAAGGCGGTGCCGGTCATCCACCAGGAGGGCAACCGCTTGTACCGCGAGGGTCACGTGAAGGAGGCCGCTGCCAAGTACTACGACGCCATCGCCTGCCTCAAGAACCTGCAGATGAAGGTGCTGCCCTGAGGCTGCGGCAGGTGGGTGGGGGTCTGAGGTGGAGCTGGGGCCCAGGTCTCAGCATCTGTGTCCTCTCCCTGCCCCCACGCCCCCAGGAACAGCCTGGGTCCCCGGACTGGATCGAGCTGGATCAGCAGATCACGCCGCTGCTGCTCAACTACTGTCAGTGCAAGCTGGTGGCCCAAGAGTACTATGAAGTGCTGGACCACTGCTCCTCCATCCTCAACAAGTATGATGGTGAGCAGTGGGCACTGGGCTGCCGGGTGGGCAGGGGTCAGATGAGCGGCCTCCTCCTCCCTCGCACCACTGGGCACTAGGGTGCAAAGACTGAGCCTTTGCCATCACCCCCATTCTGAACTCCCCACTCCGTCAGCTATCCCCCCCAGGCAGGGCCGTGGGCCTCATTGTGCCAATGAGGATGAGTGGGGAATGGGAGGCTGTCCCATGATGGCCCCCATGGTGCAGAAGGCATACTGGGCAGCTAGCTGGTCCCCCTCATGCCTTGCATGCCTGCTGCCTGCTGCCACCCCCCGCAGACAACGTTAAGGCCTACTTCTCACCACTCCCAGAGGTAAGAATTCCTCTGGGCCTATACCGACAAGGGAGATGGGTTGACAGTGAGGGTGATTGGCTTGGTTTGGTGCCCAGGAAGCCCTCCCTGACTGCTGGTAGTTGGCTTGAACCCCTCCTTTGGGTCCCCCAACCCAACTTGCCTTGGATGGCCAGGATCTGGTCCTCTGCCTGGGTCTCAGGTACTTCAGGGCAGGGGTAGGGCTTATTTTCCTTCTGTTTCAAAATGCCCAGCGTGGCCCTGGTCGGTGTGCCTGTTGGTTGGGTGTCGTCTAGCACACCGGTTTGATTCCTGGTCAGGGCACATGCCCGGTTTGAGGGCTTGATTCCTGGTGGGCAGCATGTAGGAGGCAGACAATCGGTGTTTCTCTCTCTCCCCCTCTCCTTCCCCTCTCTCTCTCTCTTAAAAAAAAAAAATGCCCAGCATGGTCCAGCCCAGGCCCAAGACTCAGGAGTGTCTATTGGCTGGATGTGACTGCAGGGCTGGTGAGGAGAGCTGGTTAGACTGGAGTGGGGTAGTATATATATTTGATTTGATTTCAGAAAGAGAGGGAGAGGCAGAGACAGATAGAAACATCAATGATGAGAGAGAATCATCGATTGGCTGCCTTTTACATGCCCCTGGCATGCTCCCTGAGTTGGAATCAAACTGTGACTTCCCAGTTCATAGGTCCAAGCTCAACCCCTGAGCCACTCTGGCCAGGCATGGGGTGGGATAGTCTTATTCCCACCATCCCAGCAGCTGTTCCTAGTGAAAGGTGAAAGGTGAAAACTGGGTGCCCTACGGCTAAGGGTCTCCCCTGTGGGTTGTGAAGTTGCTGCCCTGAACTCAGCTCTGAGATAGGCTCTGAATGGGGGAGGGGGAGGGCAGGAGAAAAAGCAAAGGGACCCCAATAATGGACTCCCAGGAGGAGGAAGAGGTAAGAATTCCTCTGGGCCTATACGGACAAGGGAGACGGGTTGACAGTGGGGGTAAGAGATTGGCTTGGTTTGATGCCCAGAGTGGGTAGAAGGAACTGGGGCTTCACTGGGAGAGAGGGGGCTGGGAGGCCGGAGTCCCGAGGGGAAAGCCCGCCTTCGTTTTAGCAGAGTGTGGCTGAACCAGTTGTGGCCCCTCCCTGGGCCTCAGTGTCCTTTCTCAGGTGGTGATGGGCAGGGGGCTGGGCGCCTTGGGCCACACTGACAGAGCCCCTGCTGCCCACCCGCCCTCCTGCAGCACGTGGTCCTGTATCCACTGGTGGCCAAGAGCTTGCGCAACATCGCGGCCGGCAGGGACCCCCTGGAGGGCCAGCGGCACTGCTGCGGCATCGCCCAGATGCATGAGCACAGCTCCCTGGGCCATGCCGACCTGGACGCCCTGCAGCAGAACCCCCAGGCTCTCGTCTTCGACATCGAGATGCTTAAGGTGAGCAGCCGCCAAGGCTCAGGCGCCACGAACTGCCACTGCCCAGCCTCGGAGTGGGCTCCGGCCCTGCCTGCCTTCCCAGGGCTCGTAGGCTCCGTGGATAGGCTGGGGTTAAGGCAGGGCAGGTACCAGAACACCTTGTGGACCCCTGGCTGTCCCCATGGGGCTCCTTCTCGGGGCCCCTCCTTCCCCTTCAGTCTCTGTGAGGGCAGGGATCTTCACCGTCTCATTCACTGTTCTGTCTCTAGAAGCTGGCACAGCGCTGGGCACATAGGAGATGCTACATAAATGTCTGTTGGGTGGTCAGTGAAGGAACTAGCGATTGTGGTCTTGGTATCCATTGTCTGGAAGCCGAGCAGCTGTGGTGCCCTGGGGCTCCCCTTGACTTGGCCCACACTCCGGCAGGTGGAGGGCCCTGGCACATACCAGCAGGACCCGTGGGCAATGACGGATGAGGAGAAGGCAAAGGCGGTGCCGGTCATCCACCAGGAGGGCAACCGCTTGTACCGTGAGGGTCACGTGAAGGAGGCCGCTGCCAAGTACTACGACGCCATCGCCTGCCTCAAGAACCTGCAGATGAAGGTGCTGCCCTGAGGCTGCGGCAGGTGGGTGGGGGTCTGAGGTGGAGCTGGGGCCCAGGTCTCAGCATCTGTGTCCTCTCCCTGCCCCCACGCCCCCAGGAACAGCCTGGGTCCCCGGACTGGATCGAGCTGGATCAGCAGATCACGCCGCTGCTGCTCAACTACTGTCAGTGCAAGCTGGTGGCCCAAGAGTACTATGAAGTGCTGGACCACTGCTCCTCCATCCTCAACAAGTATGATGGTGAGCAGTGGGCACTGGGCTGCCGGGTGGGCAGGGGTCAGATGAGCGGCCTCCTCCTCCCTCGCACCACTGGGCACTAGGGTGCAAAGACTGAGCCTTTGCCATCACCCCCATTCTGAACTCCCCACTCCGTCAGCTATCCCCCCCAGGCAGGGCCGTGGGCCTCATTGTGCCAATGAGGATGAGTGGGGAATGGGAGGCTGTCCCATGATGGCCCCCATGGTGCAGAAGGCATACTGGGCAGCTAGCTGGTCCCCCTCATGCCTTGCATGCCTGCTGCCTGCTGCCACCCCCCGCAGACAACGTTAAGGCCTACTTCAAGCGGGGCAAGGCGCACGCTGCCGTGTGGAATGCCCAGGAGGCCCAGGCTGACTTTGCCAAGGTGCTGGAGCTGGACCCCGCCCTGGCACCCATTGTGAGCAAGGAGCTTCGGGCCCTGGAGGCACGGATCCGGCAGAAGGACGAAGAGGACAAGGCCCGCTTCCGGGGTATCTTCTCCCACTGACAGGGCCCTGCTCGCCCTGCCCAGCTCACTGTTGCCACTGCCAGCCCACCTGCCCCACGATATCATGCTTCTCTGTACATAAAAGCCTTATTTATCTCCCTCTGGGCCGTGCTCACTCACTGGGAGAGGTGGGAGCCATTGCCCCACGTTTTCTGGTACTTGGGTGGTATTGGGGGACAAAGAATCAGGGTTCTCATCCCAGCACCCGATTCACCAGCTCAGATCTCTCTGGGCCTCAGTGTCCCTGACAGAAAAGAGGATGATCTTAGATCTGCCACAAAGGAAGCATTTCTTGCTGCCAGAGCTGGGGTGCCCGGCGCCTTCAGTCTTAAGGGGGAGACGGTTTGTGCTTGAGTGAGATGGTCTCCCTGCCCCTCCGACCTCTGAGCCAATGGTCCCCTGGTCGCAGCTTCTGGAGGCAGAGGTTTCAGTGAGAAGCCAAGTCTGGACTGAGGGTGGCCCTATGAACCGAAGGGCTGGCCTAGGTGGGGAGGGCCAGGTGGGCTGACTCTAGAAAAGGCCTTGCTTGGGTAGAGGTGGAGACAGAGCCTTCCATGAGGCCTTCGGGGTCCAGGAAGGGCCCTGTCTCTGACCTGCTGTATGATTCTGGATTCATCCTGGCCCCCTCTGCCAAGCAGTGTCCCCATCGAACTGGAAATTGTGGGCTTGGCTACCCTGAGACCAGGCAAGTGGGCCATCGGGTGGGATGTAGGTGGTGTTTATTGTCATGGGTTTACACACTGAAAAGCCTCTGGGTCTTGCCGCTCCCTCCCTCCCTCGGCCCGTGGTCTGGGTCCTCCCACACAAAAGGGAAGTAACACTGTGGGGCAGGCAGAGATGCGGGCTGTGGAGCTGGGAGGCCAGGGCCAGCGGTCTGCGCCCCCAGCCTCCCACACCTGGTCAGTTGGGCCCCTGAATGTGTGAATAAATAACCCAGGTCCAGCCACAGTTTAGGCCTCACCGCAGTCCAACTTGAGGCTGATGCTTCGGCCCTTGCCCCGGGTCAGGGTGGTGGGTGGTGTCCCTGGGCCCTCGCGCTCCGCCTGGCTGGGACCCCTGGAGCGGAGCAGCTGGCTCTGTTTGCGGAGGAAGTCCACAGGGGCGGCCCCGCCGTAGCTGCTCTTGGCCAGGGTGGCCCTCGAGGGTCCCGTGGGGGCGTGCGGGTGGGAGCCGGCCTCCAGTTGGCCCAGGTGGGCCACGTAGCCGTCCGACAGGAACTGTGGGCAGAGGTGGGCAGGGTGAGGGGTGGTCTCAGGCCCACACCGCCCTCCGTCCCCTCCAGGCTCCTGGTCTGTGCCGGCCGCATTCTAGGCCCGGCAGAGCCTGACCCGAGTCTTCTCTCAGCAGATAGGAACCGCAGGCTGGGAGCAGGCACCTGGCCTTCCTCCTAGCTCTGCCCCTCTCTAGACTCAGCGTCCTCATCTATAAAGGGCGATTCTTTGTGGGGGGTGAATAATAGCAGCTGACATTTAGCAAGCACGTTTTTTGTGCCCAGCCCTGTGCATGTTGATGTGCAGTAAATCACATGATCTTCATGATAGCTGTCAAGGTCAGGGCCATTTTATCATTTCCATTTTACAGACAGGAATTGGGGCTTAGAAAGGTCCAGGCTGGAGGGTATCATGCTGATGAAATAAGTCAGAGAAAGACAAGTATCACATGATCTCACTCATATATGGAATCTAAGTAACAAAATAAACTGATGAGCGGAGTGGATTCAGAGACATGGAAACATGGAACAGAGTGCGGAATCTCAGAGGGAAGTCAGGGAAGGGTGGGAGGTAATCAATCAAAGACCTTATATGTATATATGCATAATAACCCATGGACGAGTTAGTGGACATATGTAATATTTTTAACAATAAAGAATTATGTAATAAATAAATAAAATGACAAAAAAGAGAGAAAGGTCCAGGCCCATGCCCAGGGCCGTGCGACATGGAGTCAGCACTCCAGCCTGAGTTCCCAATACTGGTCTGCCCAGCAGCTCCAAGTTGCTCTCCACCCCTGTCCTAGGAGGAGCCAGGTCCCCTGAGGCCAGCCACCCTCCCCATAGCCGCCCCCTCAGGCCCTTAGCACCGGTGGACCTATGACCGGAAACCCAGGCTCCCAGTCCCCACCCTCACTTGGCCCTTACCTGGCACTGTGCTTGCAGCTTCCGCACAGCGCGGCCCACGATGTAGGTCTGGCTGGGGGGCAGGCCCAGGGCCGCGTATACGGCCACATCTTTGGGGGATCCATAGCCAGCCACGATGTTCAGTTCCACCTGCGGTGGGTGAGGCCAGTCAGCCACCCCTGGGACAGGGCATGAGGCTGGGGGTGGGGTCTGCTGGGCTTCCTTGGGTCAGATATTTTAGGGAGTCAAGCTAGTTGGATAGAGGTGGGGCATAGAGTCCTACGTCACCCGGCCCCCCGGGGAGGCACCCTAGTTGGCCCTAAGGTTAGGGGCCCCTTGGAACATGAGAGGGCAGGACCATAGGACAGTTAAGGTCCCAGAGATGAGCTGAGGGCAGAGGAGATGGGCTGAGGGCAGAGGCGGGTCCCTTCCCATCGCCGCACCTCCTGCACCAGGCTCTGCAGAAACATCGCTTTCTGGCGCAGCGGGTCATGGGTGAGGCCATCGCAGAAGGAGACGACGCCGTGTGGGAAGTTGTGCTGTGACAGCCAGGCCACCACACGGTGCTTCTGCATATCAGGCCGGCCCGTCACGTACACAATCAGGTAGCCCGCGTCCTGCCAGTGCCTGCGGGGTGGGGTGGCAGTGAGCTCCAGGTGCCAGGGTGGGGGTCGGTCTCCAGGGCGAGTCCGGGGGCACTCCTACCTGACCACGTCCACAGCGCCGGCGCGCACCTTGGGGTCACTGCCCATGATGGAGACGCTGGCCGTGAAGGAGCCGTCTATGCTGAAGACCACGGCCTCGGTGCCACGGGCCACCACTGTCAGGCAGCACTCGGCATAGGTGTGGTCGCCCCTGTGGTCCACAGGTGGGGTGAGCAGGTGGTGGCCAGGGGCAGCGGAGCCCCACCCTGCAGAGGAGTGGCCTGCCCCGCGCTCACCTGACCATCATTCGTACTGGGTAGACGCCAATGCCCAGCGCACGCTCAGGGGGCACCGGGAAAGTGAGGCGGCCAGAGCTGTTGGTGACCTCCGTGCCAAAGTGGATCCACTTGCCGGACAGTGGCTGTGTCATGACGTAGACGTCCACCTGGCGGTGAGAGGGGGTGAGCGTCCATGCGGGGGAGACCCTGGGCGCCACATAACTTTGGAGGAGGGCAGAGGTGGGCTTGTCATTAGGGGTGGATGAGGCCTCGGGGAGCCGTGTGTGTGTGTGTGTGTGTGTGTGTGTGTGTGTGACAATAAAGACACAGGAGGCGGGACAGGAGCACCCGCTTGGGAGTGTGGTCAGCTGATGGGGGCGGGCCCAAGGCCACTGTGTCCTGACCTTCTCTCCAGTGAGTGTGACCACATCCAAGGGCCCGTACATGAAGCGCCCGTTCAGCACCTGGGGGCGGCCCTCGCACACCACTGTGTCGTTCGCCCGGTGGTTGGAAGTGACGTTCTGTTGGGAGGAGAGGACATGAGCTGGCAGCCAGATGTTGGGGATGCAGAGGAAGCAGACGAGAGAGACAGGCACCCAGACAGGGAGGCAGGGGCAGGGGCTGGGAGGAGGCCCGGAGGTCAGGAGTGCCTGTGTGAGTGGACTGTGACATGATCAGATGCAGAGGATGAGCTGGGGCGGGTAAGTGCCCATCAGAGACCTAACTTGCAGGGGGAAGGGGAAGAGACCCTGGTTCCCAGGGGCGGGGCCAAGATATGATTAGGTGGGGCCAGGCCCCTAGGGGCTCGGGCTGGACCGGAAGGCCACGTGGGCTGGGATCCAGCGGCCAGGGGGTGCTTCTGAGTGCACCTACTCGGATCTTGACTTGCGTGCGTTTGCGCTGCCACTTCTCCCTGGGAAAGGCCGGGCTGTAGATGGACGGCTCCTCGCACTCGGGCAGCTGTGGCTGCTCCTTCTCGATCACCTGTACAGGACCAGGCTAGGTCACCTGAACGGGGTTCTGGGGCTGCCCCTCCCCCAGCCCGCAGCCCCCCATTCTTGTCTGGTTCCCATCCCCCAGTCCATATCCCCGGGCCCACCTGGCGCAGGATGAAGGCTACCACGTCTGCGGACTCCCAGTAGCTGGCGTGGAAGAGGTGGGGCAGCGTGACGGTGGGGAAGGCCGTGAGCGCCTCGGGGCAGTAGAGTGAGTAGTCAATCCGCTTGGTCCCCCACCATCGCTCCAGGACTGCACAGCCACGGTGGGCAGTGAGTCAAGGTGGCCTCCCACCCTGTGCCCACCTGCCTGGCCTCTGGGTGCTCTTCCCTCCCTGCTTTCCTCCAAGCCTGGGTGCTGGAGGGGAGGGGGCAGACCGGATGCTGGGGGCAGGGGCATCTGGCTGGCTGACTTACTCTTAACCACCTCACTGGTGGTGCTGGGGGCCGCCGGCTGGGCCTGTGGCTCGGTGCCTAACTCACTGCCCTTCCAGAAGGCACCGCTGGTAGAGGTGGGCGTTGAGGGCACCAACATCTCCAGCTCCTCCAGAAAGAGGCCCGAGTGGGTCTGCAGAGCGTCAGCTGGGGGAGGAGGGGAACCTCAGCAGCAGGCGGGGCTCCAGGACAGCTCAGCGCCCACACCTCCACCATCTTTCCTGCCAGCCCTCCTGGCCAGGTCATGGCTGAGGCTGAACCGCTCCACATCTGCTTGCGGGCATTCTCTCCTCTCAGCTCACCCCACAGCTGGCTGCATTC